TGTCGTTATCGTTTTTGGTGAGTGTGTTATCGTTTTCCAATCCAAAACCCTGCGTCACGAATCCAATGTCCATCCTTTACATATCTCCTATGACCGATAAAAAAACCAAGCATAATATGGGACCATCCTGTTGGGCCCCTCACAACTGGTTCATATGCCCCGGTGTCTGCCGTCAAGTGTCACAGGAGTGTGTGTAGATGCCACTGGAATATGCCATGAAGCCATTGTCTGCATAGAGCAAGGCAGGAATAGGGCCTCCGCTCAATATGGCCTCACGAGCCAACTGGTATGCCAAGGTTCGCTGAGGGTTGTTCAGAAGCTGGATGTTCAGGAAATGATCGCTACCAACCATGAACCGATCATCCTGCAGCTTCCTCGAGAAGCCTGGATTCATACATTCCGTTGGACAAGGAGGTGCCACTTCTGACTGGCTGAAGTGCTGCTTGCCAGCTCCATGCCCAAAGTACGGGGCACAGCCTTGGTCTCCACCCGTGGGGGAACCTGTAGAAGCCATGAACCTCAGGACGTCAGAGGGCCAGCCTCCCTCACAACCATCCCTCCAGCGATATGTGCATGAGGTTGCGTAGCCGCGGCTGATCTGTGCCTTCGGCCCACTGAAGATGCCCTGGCATGCTTTGCAGGACTGAATTACTCAACAACCGTGGCTTGTTTGACTACACTGCAGTAACCCGGATAACTGCCAGGTCTGGATGTGCAGTGGAGTACAGGACAAAAACAACAACATTTCCGAACTTCGTTCGAAAATGGGTGAGCACTGAGGCAAACCGGTTTTCACGTTTTGCTATCCAGATCATTGCAGGCAACGTGCTCCCCGTGCCACATCTTGCCTGTCCTAGAAAGCCAGGAGGAAAATCAACTTCATGATTTTAACAGTCCCCGAGTGGTTTAGGGCCCCAACTCGCCAACCCTGCCATGAATAGACAGAACTTCAGAAGCTTGGCAGAGGCTTTTTGCTTCAGAATTCCAAGCGCTGCACATGAAACTCTGTTTCCATAAACAGCGGAAGGGATGGGAACTACCCTCCATTCCCGGAAAGATTTCGGAGCCTCTGTGGCAATGCACAAGCGGCTGTCAACCGCAGACAGTGCACCAAACCTTTGGTCCAGCTTTCACCCTCACAGGGAAGGGTCTGAGGACTCTTGGAAGAGGATGTTTGCACATTTCTGTCGGCTCTAACACCACGAGATGCAACAAGACATTGCTGGCACATCCAAGCGACGCCCAGCAGCTGCCGCAAACACCTGCCATCTACACAGGGATGCGTCGGAGTGTTAAAGCGGATCTTGGTGTCTAACTGTTCAATAGCAGCTTGGCGTTCACTAGGAGATGTGTTGCGCGATCGCAACGTTCCCGCGCTGAACCGAGTCTCCATACCAGAACCACCACCGCCGCCGCCGCCAGCAACAGCAATAACAGCAGCACCAACACCACCGCAACGACCACTACCATTGATGTTGCCTTCACATTAGGGATTAGACCCAGAGTTTTAATGTTCCGGAAAACGCTGCCGCTGATGCTTCTGCTGCTTGTGCAGCTGCTGCTGCTGCTGCTGCTGCTGCTGCTGCTGCTGCTGCTGCTGCAGCAAAAAGGACGAGGAGGGGGACGACGACGACGAAACTATTTTGTGGGCATCATTCAGGGCGCCCAAAAATGGAGATAGATGAATTGAGGGGGGTTATTAAATTTGAAGCCAAAATTACTTTCCTGCTGCTTGTTTTCCTGCGCTGGCCTAAGTCATGGCAGTATATATAGATTCCTGGCTTTCTAGGAAGATTGTCACAATATGTCCGACAAAGAAGTACGGCAAAACTCTCTTGAGATCCGATTCCGGTCCTTAAGGCCACTACACAATGGCCTTGATTGTGGATGCGCCCGATAATCTCGCTGCAAGCTGCCCAGTTTGCGCGTGCATCGAAGGAAGTTGGTAGGGAGCGCTTCCTGTTAAGGGCTGAGTGCAGTTTAGGGCCATGGGTTTGGGTGTAAGAGGTTCAGTTTAGGATTTCAGGTTGAAATTGATGCTGTGTGGGTATACTGGAGTGTCTTGGGGGTTCATGAGTCATCGGAAGTGGGCTACAAGGGCCCTAGTTCAGGCTATGGTGCAACTGTCCTGCTTACCCCAGCTGTAAATACTGTAGCTACACCCACAATTCGTATTGGACGCTCCAGCTTTACAGGAGCTTCCAAAAATATAGGGTCACTTTTTGGGGATCCTCAGAACAAGGACTATACTGTAAATATGTAGGGGGTCTTTGTAATTATCCCGCTTAGTTACGGAAACCCACATTTTGACACCAAGGCCACAAGGCCTCTTTCGCAAGGCAGCCTTCTTCGTGAAGATGGAATGAATTCTCATGGAAAATGTATGGTAGATTCCCCCAGTCCCCATTTTCAGAAAAAGAAAGCAAATGGCTATGCCATGAAATTAGGGCTTATGGCAAGAAGCTGAGGTAAGTTGATGTGTATTTGTTCGTCGCATGAAAGCGATTGTGGGGCTTTCAGAGACAGCGCGGCAGCTCTCCCAAAAGAGGAAACTGAGCATCCCAGATGGGGTAAACTACAATAAGGGACAAACCGGGGCAGCCTTTTGCCAAGTCCTCTATTGAAGGCGGGTTCGAGCACCACCCGCCTCCCTTTTGGGCTTAGGATTTTCCTGCCCAAGCCCCAGAGTCCTCATAGTGCTTGTGATGCTCTGCGTCTGCAGCAACATGCTCTGATTTGCATGAGGATCAACCAAGCCGGTCTTGTGCTTCAGATCAACTTTGGAGAAGTTGGTCAACCAATCAGCGAACTTGAAGATGACCTGGTCATGCTCCTCATCTGCTTGTTTTGGCTGGTTGGATGCAATGAGGTCACAGTCTTCTCATCGACTACGTACTATACTCAGCAGAAGAATAGAGCGTCTACGGGAACCCAATGTAGAAGTATTTCTAATATGAGAATTCCAATTTTAATCCATAGGAAAATCCAGGCCCCATGCTTCGAACGCCCCAGAGCCCAAACCTTCCCCCGGAAAGCCCATATTAGCTCTAGGAGCCTTAGGGTAGTCGCGCATATGGGTTGACTGCAAGCCTGCTGAGTGGTGCAAGATTTCTTCCAGCGACAGTCTGGCTTTCATCAGCACCCAGACCCCCAACAGAATCCAAGGGAGAGAACCCCTCAAATGACCACATGGGTTATTCTCAAGCTTATGAACCCCTTTTAGGTCTAAATAATATTGCAGCACCTTATATTTAGGGGTACCAAAATGGGACCCCTCCCATTTTGGTATCCATAAACATTCGGTGCCGTAATATAATCTATACCCCAAAGGACCCATGATTTTGGGAACAGCCTGTATACTCCCAGCTTCAAGTTTTCAGTTTTACTAGTTGACCCGTCCTGTCGCAAAATGTCTTTGAGCTTCTCTGTAAGCAGAGGCTTCTCGTTCTCTAGCGCCACTAGGAAGTCATCCATGAAGACTTGCGACTGGTGCTCCAGGTTCGGGATGCTCCCAATGTAGTCATGCCTGGACATTACAATCTCAGCAAGACCCCACGCAACCCTTCTGCATACGAAGGTCTTTAAGAAGAACGGGTCACAGAAGGAACGCCCTGTCGAACCATTGTGTGCTGTAGGAGCCTAATTCAATTGCCAACGTCATTTCAGAGTCTCTTTGAGGAACCTTGTACTCAGTACAAAATATCAAATTGTACCAGGAATCTAGGACCGTAAAACCGTCAATTTCTTACGCCTCGGCATTAGCAATCTCAAGTCTGAAGACTTCTGCAGGGCTTGGCAGTGCGAGTCAATGACGGTACTCTCCAATTCGAAGGGAATCAAATTAGGGTCTAGATGTGAGCTATAGTCTAAACTCCTGGCTTACTAACCCCTATAATACTACCCTATACAATCCCTGTATAACCCCAAATTCAGGAGTTTAGACTGTAGCCCAGGTGTCAAGGAAGGGTACCCTGGTACGCTACGGTGTTTCCCTCTCAGTTCCTGAGAAGACGCGCCCCTCTCCAGCTTCCTCTCGGGTAGGTATTTGGACAAAACGTGACTACGTGATTCCTTCCCCGGCACTACACAATTTAGGGTTTAGGGTTCATAATGTTTGTATGAGCTGTAGTCTAAACTCCTAGTATCCCCCTTAGAAACCCCTACAGTAGTCCCCTATATCGCGCCCTTAAAGGAGTTTAGACTATATGACGTATAACCTGTGATTGCAGCTATCCATCGTATGAGAAGGTTCCGCCACGCCGCCTTCCCGTATCCGACACCCCCGACTGGGAGGGACGTGGCCAGAGTCCAAGGACTACATAATTGGGATGATGGAGAATCAAATGGAACATGAAAGTGGTCTATGACGAGGTTGCTAATGGCCCAAATGGTTGGAATAGTGGAGAAACACATGGAAAAGACATGGGTCTGCATGGGGTTTTGCAAGGCAAAAAGGCTAAATGCATAGAATGAGGCTTCGGGCTCCTAGGTACATTCTACTACGTTATACAGGGGATTATATAGGGATAATGGAAAAGAACATGGAAGCTACTATTTAGGGTTTGGGGTCTACACTCCCTAAAGGGGTATGATATGGGGGATTATATAGGGAAGTTGTGTATGATTTCTCAAGCTTTCTCGCCCTATGCAGTCCTCCACAATTATTGCAAGAATCATTCCGAGACACCGGTGCCCACGCTCGAACCAACCCTAAACCCTATAGTCCCCCTCAAGTAGATGGAATATGCGGCTTTGGAAATAAAGACCCCGTATACCCCTTAAGGGGGACTATAAAATAAACCCCAAGCCCTAAACGCAAAGTATACTCAAGAAGATGGACAGACCCCAGCTTGGGGATCCAGAGGGCCCCTCTACAACAATCGTTGTACATGGCCTGGCCTCTAAAGGCAATGATAAGCCACAAACCTTGTAGGAAAACTGCCACCTTACATGCAACTTTCTGCACCATCATTCTACATGTGCCCCATATAGACGCAGTCTCCATTCAACTTTCCATTTTCGGTTGTCGCCCCTAAACCCTCAAACCTAATTCCTAAACCCCAATCCCTAAACCCTATAGACCCAAACCCGTACTTAGAATTCCTACGGAGGATTTCTTCTTCAGGGTCACTGCTGACCTGCCTGGATCTGTTTTAGGAGTCCCTTTAAAGGGGTTTATAGGGGATATATACGGCGCATATTATAGGGTCTAGGGTGTAGAGTTTAGGGATTATGGTTTAGGGTTTAGGGATTACGCAGGCCTATTCATGGAAACTACCATTTCTTGCGGCAGGCCCCCTAAGCTGGACGGAGGAATTCTTGCACCACGTCCGGCCCACATTATACGCATACTAACATAGTCCTCAAGGTTTCATCATGTTTCCTCCATCCGCAGACTTTTCCCATCTCTGAGCCTGAGCCCTCAGTACCTTGCTTTGCATATGTGGCATTTCTGAAGCCAGAGTGGGAATGCATGGGACAGCACGAACTAAGAGCCTGACCAAACCTGAATCAACTGGAGCATCTGCAAACCCCCGGTGAACAACCTGAAACCCTAAACCCTAAACCCTGATACCCTGAAACCCTAAATGCGAAACCCAAAGGCCGCTGAAAAGTCGCTCTTTGACCTAGGGCTCTTCTTGGGGTTCCATGCTAGCTGACATGAGGGAAGCTACCTTAACCCTCAGTTCTAGACCCCAATGGAACTGCTCATGCTCTACAGCAAAACGCCGTTTTGCATCTTAGAAATCAGTGATGGGTTGCGGCTAAACTACTGCTCTCCAAAATAAGAATGAGCCCTTACTGGGTTGGCCCCAAAGCTCTTTGAAAAATATTAGTATATAGGTTCCCTTATTAAAGCCATTAGGGAAAAGATTAAATATCCCAGGGGCCTACCCAGCTTACCTACCTTAAGAGGGCTCAGGTGCCATGATGATCTTGTAAAGTGCCGCTATACTCTGGTCAATAAGATTTACCCTCCCGGAAACTAACATGGAAACCCAAAAAGGACCCTATAAAGACTACAGTTCCTGTAAAGGGTGGCTATATGGGTTTCCATGTTAGTTTGGGGGAGTGTACCTTAAAAACGATTACCCACCGCCCCTAAACCCTAAAGCATCCAAACCTCTTTATGGCCTGGCGAAGGGATGGTCAAGGAAAGCCCTCCACAAATCAAACCTCAACCTTAGATTCCCTGGAGTCTGCCAAACAAAGCCCTGAACCCTGCAACACCTCACCAAGACGCTTGCAGAATGCCTCCATCTCTTCCCCCAGGCGAGAATTGAAGGCCTGAGGGTTTCTGGGCGTTGAGGCTTATACTTAAGAGGGCACCATGCAAAGCTGTTATCTACACCTCATACGAGGGCTCTGTCAGGATTCTGTCTCTTCAGAGGTCCACTCAATGAGCCCTTAGAAAAAAGGGGGCATGCAGACCTCGAGAAAACCTTCAAGGGGCGTCACTCTGAAAGGGATTCCTAAGTCAAAGTCTAACCTCTCCAAGTACTCAAGGCCCTCGACCAAAAAAACAAAACCTGAACCCTGAACTCCAGACCCTAATACATAGGTTGGTTTGGGGTGCTGGGTTCAAGGTTTAATTTTCAGAGTTTCGGGTTCAGAATTTCAGGCACCTGGGGTGTCTCATTTTAGAGCCGTCTGGACAGCGGAGTGTGGCGGCCTTGTATGGCGAGACTCCCAAACTGGTTGGAGCAAGGTTCTTGGAGGAGCGGAGTACTTCCAACCTTCTTAACAACCACAACTACGACCCACAGATGACCATACTAAGGGGGACTTATGGGACTCATCATTGGGTTGTAAATTCATAAACCAATCATACTCATGCTTAGCGGGACTTTGGGGACTAGAAATGGGTTGTAAGGACAGCTAGAAGTACGTTATAAGCCAGAAGTAATCCACCCCTTCAAGCCGCTCATGGCCTCGTGTATGTACTGTCATGGCCGAAGAGACTGCATCTCAAGTCAGGAAATCTGGAGCTGAGACAAAAGTGTCTCCGAAAATCACTCTCCTCCCTAAAATCGGAGCTTAAACTCTAGGCTTCCAAGCCCTAGGCCTTCGGCAGAACATAGAGTACATACTTCAGGGTCCGGGGCTGCGCGATTTAGGACCTCTTGTCGCCCAAGTAGATGCGGACTTTTCCCAAATCAGGGGCCCGTTTAAAAAGATCCGATCATACACTCCCTTGTTTGAAGTTCCAATGTGCAATAATGGTGCTGCTTGTCGCCAGGAACAAGCCCCACGCCCGACTTCTGCCCAAAAGCCCAAGCTCAAAGCTTGATTGAAACTGAAAGAGTCCGAACTCCAAAGCCCAATGTCCTGCCCCCCCCCGCACCAAATCTTAAGCTCCCCGCGGATAAGCTGCTAAGCAGTGATCATGGAATGCTATTCTGTACTTACTACCACCCCTCCCCGGCAGAAGGCCTAAGTAGAACCTGGGTAGGCTTTATATGGAAGGGCTTGAAAGGGGGACATCCCCAAACCCCAAGCCCTAAACCGGCACTCTAAACCCTACAGTCCCCCTTAAGTAGATAGAATATGGGGTATATGTGGATCTTATTCTAATATACCCAAAGCCATATTCTATCTATTTAAGGGGGCCTATTAATCCTACGCCCCCCACACCTTAGGCCCCAAAACTGAAAGACAAGGGACCTCCAGCTCCGAGGTTGTTAGCTCCGCAGCCAGACCTTGTTGTTCGAAAAGGGGTTTCCGGTCTACAGAGTTTAAGGTCTATAGGGGTTTAGGGTTTAGGGGTTTGGGGGTTTAGGGTTTAGGGGTCTTTGTCTCCCGCTTGGCTGTAACTCTTGCAGGGAGCAGGAGCAGGGTTCAGGGCTTGCGGATTTGGGGTTTAGCCTTATGGAAAACTTGATGGCCCATAACTGCGCTACACTTCACTGCGATCTGTATTTAGGGGGCCCTAAAAAGGTCCACATATTTCAGGAGCCCCAGGCGTCTGTATGACGCATGGGGCCCCGTTCTGCAAACCCTAAACCCAAAACCCTAGTGCTGGCAGAGGTCCAGAGCGATTTGCGAAGTGGTAGAAACTCTTCTCAACATTCTGCAGGCAGCTTGAGTCCTTCCAATAGGGTTTAGGGTTTAGGGCATTTCTTTGCAGGTTGGGGGGCTTACTGAGCTCATTAAGAATTGGGATGACTGGGCAATTATTTGGCTTATAGGGGCAAGTATACTTATCAAGCCCTCCTGACCCTTCAGACCCTTCAAGCCCAGTAGAGTAGAGCTTACAGTTTCGGAGTGGGGTCTAGGAATTAGGGATTAAGGCTCTCTGCAAGCATGCAGGCCCATTCGAGATGGAAGCTCCAGATGTAGAAGCGGAACACTTCATCATTCATCGTGGCACTAGCCGTATTGATAATTTTCACGTTGAGAATTCCATTGACATGCAAGTTCTGAGGCTGTGTTGCTACTTAGATGGCTTGGAAATCAGCTCAATGGTTAGTAGTTCTGGCTGTACCCCCATGTAGCCTATGAGGTCCACACATTTACTAACCATGTAGTTAACTCCCAGCCCATCTAGGTAGGAAACTGGGAATGTGAACTCTGAGAGCTTTCACGCCAATCAGTCAGCAAGCACAAACTTTTGCCTATGGACTGAACTGCCGCGTCCAAGTTCGGGCGGATAGCTTCTGAGAAAAAATGCTGCTTCTTCCATTCTGGCTAGATGCATTGATCCCTAGCACGATCTTGCTATGCTTTCCAAACCCCGCCATCCCCTCAAAACTCAAAGCTGGAAGCGTCAGGAAAGCTTTATTGGGGAGTCCATGTTGAAGGGTTCCGAAAAGTACTCACTCACTGACCTGGGACCATGACACTCTGCTGCTAATGCAATACGGATTACACATAAGAAGCTTCCAAATCCCCAACCACGCGCTCTTTGGAGAAGGACCGATAATGCGACCAGTGGAAGGCCGCGAGATTCTGCTCCACAATCAACTTCGAGCGGCCCGCCAGCTTCTTCGCTCGAGCCTCTTCAGCTACGGAACTCAATTCCGGTTACGGCTACTGTTCTTCTGCTTGAAAACCTCACTTATAGTTACCAATGCACCTTGAAGCGTTGCAACAGGAGGCCCAAAACGAACCCCGTAAGTCTTGCAACGCTTCACCTCAACCCCCACCTGGGACATGTGAGATTTCGGAGAGAGCTTGCCGAGTGACGAAAGACGCCTCCACCTGGGAATGCAGCTGATCGAAGCTGAAGAGTTCGCTCTTCTCCTTGGCCTTTCACAGCGAAGAAACAGGAGGGTGAACAGGACTTGCATTTTTCCTACCCCTTAATAACCCCTATAGTAGTCTATATAACCCCCTTTAAGGAGTTTAGACTATGGCACTCCTATGTATACTACGTAAGCCCACCACAAGCCCACGACAGGACATAGAAACTTCGGCCTTAGTTTCAGGTCGCCTTGCCGCAAACTTGACATGGTAGTTTAGGGTTTAGGGTTTAGGGTTCCACACATTCAGAGACCCCGCTTAGTCCTTCTTATATAGGTAACCCCAACAGGAAACCTCCAATTTTGGGAAACCCCAGCATCCCGGCCTCCAGGGACAAATCCAGTGAAAGTTGGAGCAACTCAGTCCCACAGTGACCCGCTGAGCAGGAATCTTGTGAGACCTCTCCCGTGGTGAAGGTGAAGAAAGCCAAGACCTGGATATATGGGTTGATAAGGTGACACCATAGGGATATATATATATATATGTATGTATATGTGTATATGTGCACATATTACCCTAATGGAGAATCACATGGACAAGACAATAGTGAATGATATGGAAACTGGGCTTTTGATTGTGGTAAGAAGGATTTAGGATTCTCGAAGTCAGGGATACTTTTTTGGGGGGTCCCCAAAATAAGGTCTATAGCATTTGAGTCTATATTACATTGGGGTCCCACTATCTCGTTCAAAGCACCCATCCGCTATAGAGTTTAGGGGTTGCTTTTGCGGGTTCTTCGCTTCTATCATGCGGCCTCCAATGTTTAACATACCCATGCATGTAAACCTTAAACCCTTTTGCATCTGGGCTCTTGTAAACCTTAAACCCTAATACTCCAAACCCCTAAACCTCTGAACCCCAATCTCCCAAACTGCTAAACCCTGAGCCCTAAACTCCTGAACTCTAAACCCTAAACCTCTAAACTCCCTAACCCTTAACCCTCAACCTGAACCGCGTTAGAGTGGGATCTGCAGGTCCAAGGTATAAGAAAGGCAACACTAGGGATAATCATGTACTCCCCATACGGGGTTTCCCAAAACTAGAGTACCTGTAAAGAGGAGAAAGGGGTTATACAGGGATTTAGAGGATTTAGGGCTTAGGGTTTCCTAAAATTAGGGGTACCCCTAGGGGTATATAGAGGGTGGTTAAAGTTTCCCAAAATTAGGGGCACAAGTTTTGGGGTCCCCATAAGGAGGATCATAATACATTGGGGTCTAGATTTATTCGGGGTCCACCCAAGTATTTATGGGAACTGTCATGTGATGCCCTCCAACTGCAGTACGGATTTGTCTGAGTATTGCGCATGAGAAAAGCCCGAAACAGACATAACATAGCACACTTGCCGTATTGACAATAATCTCTCCCCCCTGATATCAACAACCCCCACACCTCAACATAAAATACGGGTTCCCCAGATTCCAAATTCTGAAATCCGCCCACAAGACTACTTTTGAAAGGGCCAAGACTGAAGCTAATTACGGCGCGGATCCTCTGAACTAGGGGGGGTCCCTGGCACGACTCTTTAGGATTAGGGATGTCCTTGATTTCCTAGAGGCTTGGATGGGTTTTGAATGAGTTTCAGAGAATAATGTATATACAATCTGAATGCGGCGTTAAATGGGTTGATTACGATGTTGAATATAAGTTTCAGTTGGATGTTAATTAGACTTTAAATAGACTCTAAGGTTTGATTACGTCTTTGAATTGATTTTAACTTGGTTCTATTTAGATGTTCATTTGGACTCAGTGGCTTTTACTATGGTTTTGATTTCTGATTTGGATTCAATCTAGTCGGTGTGTTAATTCTAACAGGTTTTTGATTCAGTTTAATCGAATTTTACACGATCTAACTTAGATTTCAATAAAACCTTATTGTATACCTCCCCGAATGTCCGGGTCGTGCGATATGCCGCCCTTAATATGAAATACGGTTCGGAGTATATACATGAATTGGGGGGGAGCAGAAGCCGGGTGATTTGTACAGCTTCTGATCCAAGACTGGATCTTTGCTGAGCGCCGGGCCAAAAGCGGGGCAAGATGCCGGGCCATCCCGGAAGGAGTGCATTGAGAGGGTTTTCTCTGGCACCCTGTGTTTCAGCAACGGCAGCGAGTGGGTGAGACCGGTAGCCTTCAGTCTTGACACGCGCAGCGCACAATAGAAAAGGGTGCTAGGGGAGCCAGGCGTACGTGCAGATTTACTGGGCATGTCGCACTTTCCCTCAGGTGATATTGCATAGGGTAAGCTAAACCCAGTCCTTCTGAGCCCTACCTTGACAGCTGATTTCATCATGCCATGGGTATGACTTCGGCGACATTGCGGTTGAATTTGTGCTCAGAAGACTTTGCACAGAGCTACGTGCGAGACTCGGGTTTGCGTTGATACATGAAGCAACAGGACCTTGTTGCATCCTCAGCTGTCCTGGGTGCCGGTATGCCTCCTCAAACTCTTGACTTGTGTTGTACTCGAGGAAAGTAGCACGCTCCTTCGGACACCTGAGGCGAACCCTAGAAAATGTGGCATTCCACCAAAGAACTGAGCCACGATTTCTATTGCGCACCACACAAAACTGTAGGGAAGGGCTGGTACGCATCCATAACGGAAAAGGATTGTTTACGATTGCAACTGTGCATCGCGTCCTGCTGAGTAAAGATGTGGCCTCAGCCTGTCCCGCACAAGTATTCGAGGGCCTGCGGACTTCTTCGCTCTTCACTGGCCCACATCCCTAGAACGCGCTCTCTGCTAGGTTATTAACAGCATACCTGGACTCCCAAAGCATGTAGAACAAGTGTTTTGGGCCACTACTTGCCTACTTTCGGTTTACAGGTACTGTCAGCAGGATCATATTCGCGCTCTGTGACAAGCAGTCCTCACCTGAAAACAGCATGATCAACTCTGTGCTGCATACTGTATAAGGCCTAAATGATCAACGATATTGCGGTGCCAGATTCCTTGCATTATAGGGTAATTCACATTGACCTGAAAATGACACCGGTAATCATTTAGACCCTTGTATTACGGTCGCGGTTTTGGGCTCGCAGAGACAGCTTAGCTTTCGATGTCGGCTCCCTTCTTTGAGAGACGCAGAAGCTCAAGCTCCTCCAGGGAGCCAGGGCAACAAGAAGCAATCCCAGAAAATTGCAATTCCCTTCATATGGGGTTTTCCCAGAAGTAGGGGTACCCTTTTGGGGGGTCCCCATAATAAGGACTATAGTATATTGAGGTCTATATTGGGGTACCCTAATTTGGGGAAACTACCATTTTTGCTCGGGGTAGTACTGCAACTTAGACTGACGGTGCTGATCAGTCGGGGGCTCCTCCTGAATTGCGCGGCGCTCGATTTCGCCGCCTGTATCTAGGACGGCCTCATTTTGCAGGGGAAACATTTTCATGTGTGCTGCATGGGGTTCTGATGGGATTGCGCCGCATGAATTTTGTGGCCATGGATGGAGGTTATGCCTCCTGTGAATTTGAATACTGTAAAATCGGGTTATTCTCAAGGCCCTTCTGCAAAGGACACTACTACCCGCGCAGTCTGCACTGGCTCCACTTCTGGCAGATACATTACCTGCGTGCACCCAACAGCTTGTAGAATCCTCTTTCAGCACGGATGCCTGGATGACCCACTTCTTCTTTTTGAGCCGGGCCACTTCCTGAAGAGCATGCCGGACCCAAGCTCAGCCTAATGAAAGGTAGACTGTGAGCCAGGTAGCGTTTCGCAGCGTTGCCGCTTCGAGAACCAGCTGCGAGTGGAACTGCTCCTGCATAATGCAGTCTACGGGTAGCGAACACGAAGAAAAGCACAACTTGGCATGCGAACGCCCAGAAACCATTCACTGGGAGCCCGCGCGATGCGCTTGCCCACACTTGCAAGGTCCTGGCATCTTTGAAACGAACACCCCTTGTCATCACTCGTAATACTACTCGTAGCAAACACTGCTACTGACATCATGGACTACTCGTACCTCGGCATCTGCCATCCACTTCGCACAGTAGCGTCAACACAGGTACCAACGGCACTGTCATGCTGCATCATCGACATCAAGGTTGGGTGCGATTGCTTCTTGCAAGCCTTCTCAAGTACTTGGAGGGTCACAGGGACTTAGTAAGTAGATTAATAGCCCCAATAACTCATGTAGTAACCCGACTTACTTAGTCTCCCTGACCCTAAACCCTAAACCCTAAAGAATATAGTAGTTTCCATTTTCTTTTCCATTATCCCTATATAACCCCCATATAATCCCCATAATCCCTATATAACCCATCCCTGTAGATTCTCCAATTCACAATCGCTGCCTGGTTCCGGTTCGTTGCCACTTCTGGCTCCCCCGCCGCGGCCTTTTCCTCGAGTTCCATGGCCTGGTAGAAGACCTGCTGGCCACACATCCACCCTAAGCTGGGTTGCTGTTAAGGAACTTAAATTAAGTTACCATAATGGGTATATATAGTAAATAATAGGGTTTCCCCAATATAGTAACTTAATCTAAGTTCCTTAACAGACACCCAGCCTAAGGGACCCTGCTGAAGCCTCATTGCAGTCTTCATGCTTAAGCACTGGCAGCAGAGGAGAAGGAGCAGTTCCAGCAAGTAGGCAACGTGCATCTTGTATTTCAAGGTTGTATGACTGCTCCGGTTTCTGAACCAATGGTACGAATATTATTTGCATGATCCGCCATTAGCGGCAGTGGCAGAACAGCAAGGCAAGCACACTTGTGATGGCGGCTGCAAAATTGTCCCCAAAAGCACCAATAGTATGCAAACGGACCAAGGATGACCAGGGTTCCTCACTGAGCCAATTACAAGGCAAATTAGTAGACAAGTAGAGCCTTGAGTGCCTTAAAGCTGGCGACTATTTGCTTGTATCCCTGTTCGCCAACGCTTGAAGAGCTTCCTCGTGCCCTGCACAAGGGTTTCAAGGGAATAAAGATAGCCAAGTAATTATCCTGTGAATTTGTCTGTATACCCCTATATACCTACGCAGATGCATGCATAAATGCAAAATTGTCCAGGTCTATAGAGATAGTTACACACACACACATTTATTCAGGGAGAAAGAGGCCTCAAGGCGCTGTTGCAACTGGGCGTTTTCGCAGGCCAGCCGCTTGAGCTCCTTCTGTGCTTGGAAGGTGTGTTGGTCAAAGTTTTAAGGAACTTAAACGGAGGCTTCCAAGAACTAGGGGTCCTTTTGTGGGTCCCCGTAACGATTACAATCTTTTGTGTCCTTTATGGGGTCCCCGTACTGATGGAAAAAGCCAAGTCAAGTTCCAAAACTGTGGACAAATGGTACATGAAAGCGATACCTTATTGTTTTCACGAACGCAGTCTCATAAATTATCAACAACTCAAAAACTATACCGCAAGGTTTAGTTTGAAGAACATTGGGCTCTTCAAGAAAATCCAAGCTCGGCAGCCTTATTTGGGGGGTTCCCTGAATTAGAGTCGAGAGTGCTATTGGCGGGCCCCGTAAGAAGGATTGTAGTGTGGCATATTGGGGCACCCCATTCAACTATTGAAGCAACCATTTAGGCTTCGGGTTCGCCGAGAGACGTAGTAGCCCGGCCAGAAATGGACAAGACTGGAGTTCTGGGGTTCTGAGAAACCAGAATGCGTCCGCAGTTGCTGAGTCCCCTGGGCATCCTAGCTGCCGCAGAGCAAGAAGGAAGAGGTATTACCACTACGTATAAACGCCTAGGAGGAGTTCGGCATCAGCTGATTGCAAGAAAGGTCCGTCTCAACACTTCTCCGTCCTTCTCCTTCGCTTCTCGCCGATTGACGGAAAGGAACAGGTAAGCGGCTTCGCATAGCCAAGTGGTAGCGCTATCCCTTTGCATGATACACACAACCCCGCTCGAATAAATTTATTTTTCAGGAATGGGGTTGCTTCAAAACCTAGATTACCTGGAGTCCCGTTGTCATTCTCAGGAAGGCTCAGATCAGGGCCTATAATTTTGAGAGCTGCCCAACCTTCACTTCAAGGAGGAATGATGAACGATTAGACTTCAGGGTAAAAGGACTGCCAGGACAAAAGTTCCTCCATGCCCAAATTTCTACTCCGCCGTTTCTGTGGAAAAGCCAAAACACTTCTTAACGCAAATCTTTGCAGTTCCTGCACTTGATATCGGAAAGTTATGCGTCAGCTATGCCAGAAACAACATTCAAGCTATCGCGGCCACCTGAACCTACCCAGAGAGCCCAATATGGCTTAAGTAAGGAATATACCCTCAATCATATTAAGGGTCCTAGTATAGCTTTAAGGACTATGACTTAATCAAGCTATAACCCCTGGGTAATAACCCCAAACAATATGTGCCCCAAATCCTCAAGTCCATCATCCCTAAACCCGAAACGATTAACACCTGGGCTTTGTTTCAACTCCTCAGAGGTCTCAATCGCCACGGGGTCGAGCGCTGTCGCAGCTTCAGCCTAGTCAGTAAACATCAAGGGTTCAGGGTTTCGGGCTTAGGACTCAGGACCTTCCCAAGAAATTCCGTGTTGGCCGTCCCTAGCATAACTTGACAATATGTGGGCCCCTCATGTGACAACTTTGCTCTTAATTCCCTCTTTGTCGGAATGATTTGAGACTAGGTGGCTACAAGCAATGCTCTACGGATACAGGGTGGTATCTCTTACACGGTGTGCCCAAAGTTCTGAGGGTCGGAGGGACATGCCTTTTTCATTGGCCCTGTTAGCAGAAAATCCGTAATTCCTAACCCTGAACCAAAGGCTCAGGCCGCCCACCTGCGATGGTGGGCGGCGCCGACGCCCCTGACCCTCTATGGCGAAAGGTCTTTGCCTAGCCAGCCACGAGGGTGGCAGCACCCACGCGAGGCCCGGAACCGGAAACTGTTGTTCTTGGCTTGCTGGTTTTTCCATAGCCCTTCGTGGGGGGTCCTGGACTCCCAACAGCGTACTCTGCGAGCGAATTTGGGGCCTGACAGCTTGGAGGTCAGTGACTTCATACTTTCTCGCCCACCCAGGCCTCCAACGCCCTCCCAATAAACATCCCAGGGGACTAAGAGGGGCCTCAACAACAACATAAGATGAAGATGTTTTTTTTTTAACCAAGATGGACCTAACTGAGTTTTGGTCCCAAACCCTAGAAAGAATGGGTTTGGGTGGCTTGGCTGCCTCATACGGCGCGGGGTGGGTGAATGTGTTAGATGGCCTTCCACCGTCAGGCCATTGCAGCACCCCGCCAGCCATGATGCTTTCCACACTATTTTGCGGCTCGTCTCTTGAATATTCCACCTAACATCGCAGCAAACTCTAAATCCTAAACCCTGGCAATATTCATACATAGCTCTGGCAACATTAATATTATTAAGTTGTGGGCCCAGCGGAGCCTGGAGTCCCAGCGCTAAGGGTTCAGAGTTGGTTTAGGGAGTCTACGCGGAAAAGAGGTTGCTATTGCTGCCTAGCTGAACGGGTTACTGGCTTCGCGACCATGTATGAAAGTCTAGGTTTCTTATGGCTACTTGTACTGTTACTAGTGGTACTACTCCGACTATCAGTCTTATCGTCACTGCTATTGTTGTTATTATGATTCGACATGGCAGCAACCTGTCCATGATGACCCAAACGAGTGTTTGGCCGAAGAGTTCCCGCTGAGGGGTGTTGAGAATCATGATCTCAAGCTGTAGGGTTCAACTTTGACGAGCAGAACTGAAATCTCTCAAGCGACAGGACTTAACAAAGTTGAAGCATGCGTATAGGCTCATAGGTTTTTGAGCTCAAAGTGGGCTTTGGGGGGCGCCCAGGCACGCCCTCAGTCAACCAATCATTTGAAATTCGGCCCCCAAGCACTTCACCCTGAAGGGCCCCAGGGGCTTGCTAACAACTCCTTATTCTCCGCCAATTCCGGCTTGGTTGCCTTCACCCAAAACAAAAGTTGGCTCCCGTTTTGGCCGCTTCCACAGGAAGACCAGTCTCGTCAGCACTCGTCTTCCATGTTCGTGTAGGCAACATGATGTATGAATACAGCCAGCCTCTGTCTGCTGCTGCTCGGGCGGAGACTCCAAAAACTCCTGCCCAAGTTTAAGGTTTATTTAGGCCTAGACATGCTTATCACGAAACGCTCGTGTTCTCTGTAATTAAAACAAAATTGGGTTGTCTCTGCCCAGGTTTAGAGTAATTGGGGTTTGGGATTTAGTAGGGTTGCCCTAAAGCAAATCTCTCACAAAGCCCTGTAACCTTACAACCTTGACCCTGAAATCACGGAAACACGTAGAAGCCACGTCCTACGTAACCCTACACCCTCGACCTTTCAACGCCCTTTCATTCCCGGAACTCTGCAGGACCACACGCCTGAACCTGACATCCCTGCACAGATCTGCATATGGTAGCTCACCGAAAATACCGTCCAGACGCTATAATTCTTGTTCGAGGACTCTCAGAAGGGGGCCCCGAGCTTTGAAAACCTCATACCCCAATCCCTTAACCCCATACAACCCCTACCCTAAGGGTCTGAGGACGCAAATGATAGGGTCCTACGGCCAAACTACTATAATATTAGTGGTATTTGGGCCCTAAAGCCCTAGTATTTGGGTCCTTGGACCCTTAGGGCTATGTGTCCCTTTAACGCTGTCAAAAAACCCCCATATCACCGCTAGACTTTCTAGTCCTGAAGCTTTTGCTCCGCGGCCAGGAGCTCTTCCAGGCGATATTTGGGCAACTCCTCATGTTGCTATCGTTTCAGGCTTCGGCAAGGCAGTGTTTTTTTTTTTTTGTGCGAAATGCTAGTGTAATGTATACATATACGTCTTTGTGCAATAGCAGGGATAGGGTATTTCCTGGTTATAGGTTGGATTTTATGTCGGCCTAGGGTTTCGAAGGCAGGGGGGCTGGGGTTTTACGGTTCAGATTTAGCAGGGATGTAGGGTTGGACAGGTTTAGGGTTAGGATTCTGGCGCGACCTAGGACTTGGGGGTTCGGATTTGGACAGTCATGGAGCATGGGTCTCGCATTCATATACTCTGCAAGAATTCAAGCTTTCGGGTTGCGAATTCCAGGCTGCTAGAAGCAATTCCTGCTTGCGCTATTGAGTGCTGTAAGCTCTAGCAGGGCACCCAAAATATGTAGAATGAAGCTCTTGTTGACTGTGTTTCTGGGTTTGGGGCTATCATTCTGCCTACCTTTGTGGTCCAGGTAGGATAGTTAGCGTTCACAAGTTTCCTGGGACCAGTCGCCCCAACTGAATTTCCCAAAACAGCAGAGTCTCCAGATGTCCAACGCACCGGTTTTGGGGCTTTAGCACCCAACATCCCACAGTCAGGAGTAAACTCCTGTTGCAACAGTTCTGGAAGAGAAGTAGACCAACATGACCTCCAAACATCGTGGAGAATAACCAGGACGAGGTCGGAAGGGATGTTTCATCTTTCGTAGGGCGAGGATATTCATGGTGGTTTCGTTCTGAGCTTGCTCGCGGGTGCGCAGCCGTATGCTGAGCACCAAACGATTCTCAAACGCGAGACTCTTAAGCACCAACATGTGAGGATGAGCTTGTGGGAAGCGGCAAAAGAACATGTCCTCATTGCCACTGAACAGTAGCATTGCCACTGAACAGTAGCATTGCTGAGTCTCCATGGAATGGTCTGAATGAAGCGGGGATCTGGTAGGAGTACTGTAAGGGTCCATTCCTCCATATCTTTCCGTAAGCAACATAGTAGTGTCAACCTTCTCTTTTCCATTCCTCCATTCCCGAGCAAAGAAACTTAAACCCTGAAATGTTCATAGTTTATATCCCTATGAAACCTCAGGCTCCATTTTATTTTACATGAGATTTTCCATTCCTAGACCTCTAGACCCCAACCACAACTGGAGTCCTCGTAGCACGCCATAGTCTCGACCTTATCCTTGTCGAGCTCTGAGTGCACTTCTGCAGCTGGTCCTCCAACTTCTATACCATATAGCGTTGTATTGGCTATGGCTGGCAGATCTAGGGCCCAATAACGGAGACTCGCATGGAAACGTATATGGAAAGTCAAGTGGAAACTAGCATAGCATCTGCAACGCCATGTAGCAGGAACATCTCTTTAGGCCAGGGTCTCTTTTTGGTGGACCATGTGTCGTAGACCCTACAATGTAAAAGTTTACTCACAAAGATGACCTATGAAGCTCTTGGTGATTCATGGCTGCATCCAGATCGCCAGGCTCTTCAAACTCATGGTGCTAAAAAGTATCCATATCATGCATCCTGTACGGGATCTTGATTCGGGTGGGAGCCCCAAACCCTAAACCCTGAACCCTAAACCCCATACCTTAAACCCTAGACCCTAAACCCTACATCAACAGTTTACATCCCAAGAGTCGGTCCTCAGACCGCCAAGATCAGAGGGGCTTAGCCTACTTTCCATATGAAGGGGATGTGAATCTCACTTACTCCTGCTCCTATGATAGGAACCCTATAACTATCATATGACTACAACACGGTCTTGCTTTTGGGGGTTCGGGAAACTAAAGCCTCAATTGAGCAACGTGAAAATGTAGAGTTGGAATGATGTTTTTTTGGGGGGGGAGGGGGCGTGTATGGCTTACATTGACGGATTCAATTCCCGAGGTGTATGTCTTGCATTACATGCACTTCCCTAAAAGCGAGAAGGCCCCTGTCAAACAACGGTAATCTTTGCAAAGCCACTTTTGCGATTACATGTTACCATAGGGACTTGCTGCGCTATGATCCCCGTTATCCCCTGTAGCCCCGCCTGGAACGTAATTACCTACAGCTTTATGGGATATAGCTACTAATTGAGGGGTTACTGTTTCCAAGCTGTAGGTATTTGGGGTCACAGATATACCCTCAACCCTCAACCAAACCCAACTCTACTCAGTATTTTCCTACTTGCTACATCCTGCCATTTCTAGCAGTGTCTCAATAAAGAGTGACTACTGTAGATGGACACAATCTTGCTTGACTTGGCAGATGGTCCACCATATCCGGTTTGCACTAGTATGAAAGTCCTCCACTCCCTCAACCCTTATCATCTAAACCCTAAATTCTCACACAGACCCTTAAACCCTAAACCCTAACACCCTTAAACCTTTCAACCCTAACCCCTTAGACCCTAAACTCTTAAACTCTACTGGGAATATATGGGGATGGGATGGCCCCAAATTACCAAACTTTCCATGGCTTAACGGGTGATGCAAGAGGTTCTGTCCACCTATCAGTCCAAATTACTGACTGGGAGCGTCAATCCACATTAGATCCCTTTCGGGTTTAGGGCTTGCACTAATCAGGATGAGGATCGACTAGACTTGAAAGCATGCATGGACATATTAATTTTTAGATCAGTATGATCTTGGAAGCTTTCGTCCCGAAAACTTCCCTTTTGCACCTGGAGCTGAGGCGAAAACTTCCCTAAACCCTTAAACCCTAAAATCCTAAAGAAAACAAATCCGAAAACCCTAAGACCCTAAAACCTTAAAACACCGTAAACCCTATAACCCTTCGACTCTAAAACCCCCAAACCCAAAGGCTCCAAAGCCCTGAAACCCTAAAAACCTAGACGCCAAAACCCTAAAACTGTAAACCCCAAAACTCTAAACCATGAAACAATGTAAACCATGAAACCGTGTCCTTCGGAGTTTCGGAAGTCGCTCTCCACAGAGTGAGCCTTTGTCTGGACAGGGCTGGGCATTTGGGGTGTAAAAGCTTAGAGGTTTTTAGAGCTTAATAAGGGCTTGCTAGAGTTTAGGGTTTAGTAGGGCTCAAGGGTTTAGAGGGGTTAAGGGCTTAGTGAGAGATGGGGATTTGGTTGAAGGGCTTATGGGAGTTTAGGTTGCAGGGTTTAAGGTTGGGGGCTTGAGGATTTAGTTTGTGAGTTTTGGGGCTTTGAGTTCACGACCATGGTCGCGTTTTACCTCAGCGCCGCACGAATGCTCGAATGTTCAGCATAAGAACTGCCAGCAACAATTCGTAATTTGGCATCTGCTCCTTGATAGTTTCCATAAGGAGGCCCCTTAAACACAAAATCAGCTGTAGCATGCCGAATCTTGTTATAGGTTTATCATCTTTTCCCCCTCCACATGGGTTCGTGCTTCTGTGAAACGACGACAAACGGCTTAAGCATCGGATCAATGGAGGGGCAGTCACCAAGGCTCAGTTTTCACTGGGATAGGCTCAGTGATCACTAGGGTAGGTTTGGGGGCCCTGTCAAAATTAAGCTGTCATGGCTCCAGAGGGATTCAACTATGGCTATATCAAAGTTGTTGAAAACTATCCTTGCTCAGGGGAGACAAGCTCTGACAGGATTCAACTAAGGATATCAAAAATGTTCAAACCTACCCCTGCTAAGGGGAAGACAAACTTTCATGATTGATTAATTTCGGGGATTAGCACTATGAATCGCCTCCACCCTAATCAACCTCGAACCATAAATCCCAAACCCTAAGCCGCCTCCACCACAGACTCCGGCTCTTTCTCTTCCGCGGCAGGTGCCTGGCGCCACACAAGCCGGGGATCCTTCTTCCATCGCCACACGAACCACGGAGGGGTCACAGGGGAATATAAGCGGGAATAAGCAAGAGAATGGAAACTACTGTTGCATATAATATGAGCTATATGGTATAAACTCCCAGTATCCCCTTAATAACCCCTATAGTAGTCCCCTATAAAACCTCATATAACCCCCTTAAAGGAGTTCGGACTATAGATCATAACAAAAGTAGTGTTTAGAAGCACTGGCAGTGGATGTCTGGATATATCTTTGGGTGTCTCGACAGGTCTCAACAGCCAGGCCAGCTGGAGGGCCATCAGGTAATAATAGTTACATAAAAACGGTAGTAGTAATAACAGGAATAAGATAATAGGAATAGTAATCATAATAGTCGTAGTAGTAGTAACAATAGTAATAATAATGACAGCCATCATGGTAATAGCAATAATAACGCTTCGCGGTAGAACGCCGCTGTTGACACGTGGCCCTGCGTGCCTGCATGCGGAACTTTCTTGGCAGAGGCGGCAACGGAGCTGCATCACCTGGTGCCCACGGACAAACCGAAACTTGCTCTGGCACACCCCGATGAAATATGTGCCCTAAGTATTTAGGAGCTTCAGTATCTTGAGGATCTTGTGTGGTGCAAGACTTCCTGCATCCAGCTCGAGGCTTGGGTGAAGTGTCACCCCGACCTGACCTAGCTGCTCGGCAACTCTGAGTCATGGATTCCACCGAATCCACCCATTCACCCAGCTACAGAAGTATATGTGTATGCATGTATCTTTCAGGATGTTACATAAGCCAGCATTTTTGCATTTATATCCACATACACATGCATATAGCCACGCACAAAAACACGTACTACATCTTCCCTAAACAGTGATAGTCATAAAAACTAAAAGAAGTAATACTCGTTTCAGACCTCCAAGAGCTTCTGGAACCACAGGCGGCAGAGAGGCCGGCCTGTGAATACACATGCCAGCGTCTTTCTTTGCATCTCAGGATCTTTACAAGTTTCCTGAGTATGGGGGTCTCCCAAAATTAGGGTTTCCTTTAGAAGGAATGTGGGGGTAATATACGGCTTGTATAGGGTTTAGGGTTTAATGATTAGGGTTTAAGGAGTTTCCCAAAATTAGGAGTACCTTTTTTGGGGATCCCCATCGTAAGGACCAGAGTATATTGGGGTCTATATTGGGGTACCCCTATTCATGGAAACCACCATATCCCCATAATTGCTACGCTGTTCGGGGTCTGTTAGTGTTTGGGGGCCAGTTGTGATTGCTGCTGTAATGGCTTTTTGTGCGATGAACATTGCTCTTGCGCCTGAATGAGCAACAACATGGCTTCTGCTCGCTGTTGTCTTCGTCCCTTTTGCTGGAAGTAGCATTGCTGCTATGTTTGTGTAGGAGAGCCTCAACCTACACCCCTGACGACCCCCATCAATTGCTCAAACTGAAAGCCTAGTTCTTAAAAGCCGAAGTATCTCTCGAACCCCTACTCGCTGAAACCCAACGGCCCTTAAGTCGAAGTCCAAGCAAGGAAGGCTCCTCTGCTTGCGTCGATCCTTTGGCTTGCTTTTAGCACGAGGCGTACCGTCGTATCCACGGATCATTGCCTGGTGGGTTCGAGGTTTGGGTAGGGTTTGTTATGGCTTCATAAACATTCCACTGCCATTTCTCCTATACTGCCCCCCCTGGTTCCCTTTAGGGTTGCTTGAGGATAAGTATCTGGGCAGGGTAGTATAGGGGGAGTACAAAAGGAATCCATGATAGCGGTTTGGGATGGTTTGGGGACAGCCCACGGCTCAAGCTAAGGCTCCCGCATCAACCGCCGCAAAAAGCTCGCCCCCCTCTGTCCTCACAGCCCAGTCATGCAGAGATTCCGTCAATTCAGAGCCAGACGTGTGGGCTTAAGGATTGCAGGTATGCAAGAAGGAAATATGGGGACATGTCGGGTTTTTCCTCCCGCTTTAACGGCTGCGGAGAGGGCTTAGGGCTTCCGAGACATTCGGGTTCATCTGGAGGTCCCTATCATACAGTTCATTGCATGCTGGACCCTTTCACCCTCTCATACTGCTGAGCAGTGGCGGTATGATCGTCAACATGCATGAGGATAAGAACGAGGAACAGGGCATCAGAAGACACAGTCTTGGCAAAAACAACAGACCTTTCAAACGGCAATTCTCAACTTGAAGCACCTGCTTAAGGATTCTCTTCGAAAAATCCGAGCCCCAACCCAAAATCTGCCCAAACCCGCATGACCTTAACCCGAAACACAATCCCAAAGCCCGAAATTACAACCCCCCCTCTCCCAAACATCATCCCGCTTGAACAATGATTGCTGACCATCCCCTTTAAGGAGCCCCTCCCAACTGCTTGAAACACCCGACCCCCTAATCAGCTTAGGGGAGGCACAGTCATAGTAATCATTCTCACCAACATATACCCCCAGACACCCCCCCCATATGCCCTTAAATACCCCCATAAATCCCCACAGCCATCTACATCAAGGTCCTTCTGGCAAAGAATGGCCAGTCGGAGCTTCGGGGAGACTTGTGAGCTGCTCCTGCCAATGATCTGATGATGACTGCTATGCTTTCACGTTTGGTTGAGGGTTTAGGGTACAGAGCTTCAGGTCTCCGATCTAGCTCAAGGCTTAGGCTACTAAACGTAACTTCTGGTTGAAGCTTCGGAGTATGGTTTAGGCTTCCGAGTCTGGGCAGGGATCTGGTGGCAGGAATACTATGACTCCCATTTACATTTGTCCAAATTAGATAATACTGTCGTCATGAATCCGGCAAACTTGGAAATGCGCTCGGCCACGTTGTTATCTTGCGCGTCCTGGACAGTGCTGGATCAATCCCTCTACGCTCTGGGATGGCTAATGTCAGCTGGCTAGTGGTGTCATTCATTGTGATATGGCGCGGTCTCCATAGATGGAATCATTGTAGACCTCGCTGTGCTACAACGGTTAGCACAAGGATCCCAACCACGGGCCCCTATATCCCAATTGCCCTCAAAATCTTTCGGGGCTGCCTTGAACGAAGCGCGAAAGAGTCTTGGCAGGACCATAGTGGTCGGCAATGCGACGGTGCGAGGGCACTGGAGCAGCGGGCGGGACAGCATTCGAAAAGCTGGCATATCCTCACTTGCTCGGACATCAAGGAAAAACTGAAGAAAGTTCCGGACTTCAATCTTTCTCATACTTTGCTATAGCAAAAGGGGAGGGGGGGGGGGGATAAACCCTATCCCTTATGAGCCAGTCAGTGTCTTCCAGAGGCGCCCAGAGAGGCCTCCCTTCGGGGTTCGCAGTCTCCAGCGCTCCAGCTGGTGGATGTTGTGGTAGTGGAAGTAGTTTTCTCCACTCTCTCTGGCTTCTCAACTTTCTCGGCCTTGTCCACCTGGCTTCTTGAAAGTATGGAACCTCTCTTTTGAAAAAAAGGAGAGCTTCTCGTGAGGCCAATTTGAGTGAAGGAAGTCTTGCACCGGGACTGCTACTGATTCGACACCCTAAGAAGGCTCAAAGCTTGAGATCAAGCCGCCTGGGTTTCAGGGTTTGGCTAGACTGGCAGGGTCTCTAATGTCTGAGACCAACTGGGATCGTGAGTTGGGAGACTTCCCTGAAGACCCACCCCAAGACCTAAATGCTAAACTGAAATACCACACCCCAAACTCTACCCCACAAACCGCAACCTCAAATACTAGACCACACGCCCTGCCCCAAACCCTCAAAACCTTAGACCCCAAACCCTAAATTGTAGTGTCCATTTTCTTTTCCAGTATCCCCATATAACCCTATGGTATACCCCTATTACATATTATCCCGGCCTTAGGAGGACCCCCCACCCTGTAATAGTGGTATAAGAGGAATATAAGAGGACCCTAACATAATCCTTATTATCCCTTATAGTGACTACTACAGGGTGGGGGGTCCACCTAAGTTACACCTAAACTCCTAAACCCCTAAACCCTTAAACCCTAAACCCCTTAACCCGAAACTAAATTATCCTTTTAAAGGTTTGGAAAGCATCCACCTGAGGCCTCAGAGCTTCCTTGCGGGGCGTTGGCCGCTTTGGCCGAGGCCTCCGGCCTGTAGCTGTGAGGACTGCCTGCCGTTCCTGCGTAAGGTTTTAGGGTTTAGGTGTTGGGTTTAGGATTTGGGGTTTAGGTGTGGGTTTAGGCTTAGGGTTTAGGGTTCAGGTGTTACTATCATGGGCTTAGTATTGAGGCTATATAGGGGTTATCTTGGGATAATGGGGAATAAAACGAAAACTGCTATTCAAGGTAACCCCACCCCCCTGATATTAAATATGCCCAAAAATATTCCAAAATACCACAATGGGAGTATCTAATACTAGGAGGGACGGTATTGGTGCGGTCCTGCCCCCACCCATTAACAGTCTAAGACTAGGGGTTATATTCTTGAGGGCTCTATATAACTGCATGTTAAACTTTATCCAGCTGTTAATAAGAGGGGGCAGTACCAAAGGTTCAGCTCTAATCCCCTCAGACCCGCAATGAAACATTTCTTGAATGATTCCTTGGCGTGCTACTTGAATCCAAACTAAGAAGCCCTGAGGGGATACGGTAGGAGCCACTCCTAATGGGATAATACAGGGGTGGACACAGAATCATTTGAATGCTGCAGGCGCTGTTTCCGGGATGCTCGTTCCTGAAATGGCCGACAATGGCCCCGCGTAGCGCCTCAAGATAAAAGCTTGGAATCAGCCTTCTGTTGCAACGCGCGTCCTTGTTTACATTGTTGGCTTCGCAACAAGCTTTTACCCCGAAGCTTGTTTTGACATTTCTTTCTAGTCATAGGCGGCGGTAAAACAATTCCTGAACTTGAAGCTCATCCGTCCCTTCAAGATATGATCAACCTAGATGCTCCAAATAATCTCTAGTGCCGGCCTCAAGGTTTCCTATTGCCACCCTGGTAGTTCCTTGGATTCCCCTGCATGCCGCCTCGTGTCGAAGATTAAAAGCGATTCCAATTATCCTATTCTATTTGTTCCGTATAGCCTACAGACACGCGTTTTTTGGACATGACAGGCGCCCTAAGCACCATGTCAGAGGCACAGGAACAAGTGAAACCCTACGCACGCAGCGCGGCTAAACGGTTGAACTTTTAGAGTACAGGCAAAGCAGAATGGGATAGTGAAATGCAACAGAATATTAGAACAGTGGATAACCAAAAGGAACAGAACGTTTAGGATTTGGGCTTATACGGGTTGAGAAAGGGGGGGAATAATGCAGGCTAAAAGAATGTAATTTAGTTTAGTTTGGGCATCTACAGGAGTTGAATAGGGTTTCGATGTTTCCTACACTATGACTATCCTTACGGCGCAGCTATGCGGACATGACATTCGTAATTCCATTATTTTGTGAATTTTCGTACTTGTTCACGGAACCTCCAAGTACGTAGAGGTTTCAAATGGTTAGGATAGGGTGTAGTGAGGGTCTGATTTTTTTTGGGATAGGGTTTGCTGTAGGACCTAGGAGTCGAATTAAGTTGGGTAGAGTTTGCCTCACAGCCTCCGGGCCTAGATTTTCAGAACGGGGCTTGTGGGCTTAGGGTCTAGCGTTTAGGGTTTAGGAATACGGCTTTGGGCCTCCCCCTGACAGAGCACATATGGGCATATGAAGCAATCCTGTGGTACATCGGGTTGCAGAATCAAGGATCCAATCCTTACAGGGGTCGCGGATGTAACCCATGAAGCGATATGGTCCAGTCTCCCAAACACGACGCAACACCAGCACGCTGGCGTCATTCTTAGCAAAAGATTGCACGCTGTAATTTTTCGGGATCAAGAAGTACCAGCGATTCTTGAAGCTGATATGTCATTGGCAAAAGGTAGCGCCTCTGCATACAGCTTAACATAATGGGATAGTGGGAGGCTGGTTCGAGAAACCGTTCACAGGCACCACCACATTTTCGGCACATGCCTGAGTTTTCTTCTTGTTGTGCCTAAGTATCTCTTCAGACGTTTCAAGTTAGCTGTCACATTTATATTCCTAGTTGGGTTTGAACAATCCTTTTAGACACCTCTCAAGAATTGCACGGGCTCCTCTTCCAGCAAATCCTCAGGCAAATCGTGCAGTCCCAGGGTTCGAATCCTGGCTCAGGATCATCCCTTCCCCCCTCCGTCCCAGTAACGCGGGGAACTGGCTTACGGTTTGGAGGTTTAGGGCGTCGGGCAAACAATGCTGGACCTCAGACCTTGCAATGACAGTAGCCCCTACCACAGCCCAAAGCTCTTGCTACACAGATTCATTATCCAGCCAGCGAGATGCAAAATGAGTAGTTGCAGGTAGACATTTGTAACCTTCGTTACTACTGGTGGGCATGAGCAACTTCAGGACTATAGTTTTGGGTATTTTTTAGGCAAAGTAAGTTCACTTTCCTTACTGAGATTGCATATTGTCTGACCATGATCGATTTCTCCTTACTAAGATGTTCATTCTACTGAAAGACCACAACACAATCTGGGTCACAGTCTTGTCCAATGGCCCCCTGAAATAACACCGTCTCTTAATAATCAATTTTCTCTAACATACCGTGGCACCGGGGCGGAGGAGGTTTTCCATTAGGGGGAGGGGATTGACAACCCGAATCCTAGCTTCCGAACCGTAAGCCCCAAACCCTACACGTAACCCGTGAATCCCAAGTCCCAAGGCTCTACGGGTCTGAACAAAGCCTCTACTAGCCCTCAGTCCCTCCAAACCTGCTAAGCCCTACACCCTGCACCCTAAACCCTAAATCCGCCCAGAAGCAGGTATTGATGGGCTGCTCCAAGTCGTGCTTCCAGTTGCTGGATGAGACGATCCTTTGGATCTACATTAACCTGGGGCGGATAATTCAGCTTTTAGGGTTTTAGGGTTTAGGGTTTAAATTTTAACGTTTTAGGGGCTTAGGTATGAAAATACTCCCTTCCCCAAATAAACAGCGGTGATACGTTGGGAATGTCTTGTTTTTTGGGGTTGTGGCTTTTGTTATTTGCCATTGGGGATTAACAGTCCCTATGTTACTTGAGAATAACTGTTCATGTGCGCCGAAGTCTAAACTCCTAGTATCCCCTTTTTATAACCCCTATAATACTTCCATACATAATCCCCTATATAACCCCCTTTAAGGACTTTAGACTATAGCTCATGTGAGAGCTCCCCGCCTGAGGCTGGTTCTTTATGCTGGCGGCCTGCGACGCATACTGCAGAGTACTCAGGTTCTCGTCGTCATGTTTGTCCGAGGCTGCTAAGCATGCAAACATGATCAAGTAGCTGCTTCCACCCAAGCTGTTCTGGAGCAGCGAGGTCAGCTTGGATTCTCGATAGGGCACATGCCCCACTTGCCCGCTGGTCTCGGTTCCTTTGTCTCGCTTGCTGAGCGCTGTGATCACCCGCCGAAGGACGAAGAGAGACTGATTCACGTTCACTGTCTCTTGGAAGCGTGTGCTGCTTTTGCTGCTAGTGTTGACCGTGGCCAACGTACGCTCAGAACCAGCCAAGTCAACCAAAGATAGCTGTGACACAACTTCACGGCTAGGCTCAGTAGAACCATCAGGCCCAGCTGTGCCTTCCCGTTTCAGCAAGGTCAAAACCATTAAGGTATGTGACCTGGATGAGGCGACGTTCATAGCGGTTGATGCCACATGCTTGTTCGCGATCCCAGCTTGGTAGTATTGCAGCGCCTCTTCCGCTGAGTTACATTCGTTCTGGAACAAGTTTTCCACAAAGAAGTGCCGTTTCAGTGCGTCCCAACGCATTCGAAGCCCAGAGAAATCCTGGGTGGCTGTCAAGGAACTTACATCAAGTTAACTGTCATGCGGAAGCAGCGCTATTTACTATGTATGCCTATTATGGTAACTTGACTTAAGCACCTTACATCGTCATACAGCTCCTGCAGAAACCTGGTTTCCATTGCATTTTGCGTGCTCTTTTCCATTTCGTTTTCCCTTCTGGTAACTTAGTTTCAGCGCCGTAACAGCGGCCCTAAAATCCAAACCTTGTAGCTTAAATTCCTTAAAACATTAGGTGATTCCCCCTTTACAGTAATTGCTACCGCAATAGGTACTAGGATTTAGAATGACCCCATACTGAAGCCCCTTTAAGGACAGTTGCTCGAATACACTAATGACCCAACCTCCTAAACCCTAAGCCCTTACCTGGACCCCAAAAGTAGGTAAAATAATGGCCCAAAACCATTAAAAACAGCCCAAAAGGCTATTATTCTACATACTTTTGGGGTTTAGGTAACAGTAACCCAGATTCCTCTCCGCGACCACCAGCCTCGCGCTGAGAGACGCTCAGTGATGGGTTCAACCTTTCTGGTTTAGGGTTTAGGGGTTTAGGGGTTTAGGGGTTTAGGGGTTTAGGGTTAACGGTTTAGGGTGTAGGGAAGGAGTGGAAAAGGAAAGGGAGACTACTTGCTGAGGTTTAGGGTTTGGGAGTTAATTAGAGGGCTTAAGGAAGGCCACAGACAGAAACTACTTCATGAATTGGGGGTATATTGGGACTGCTAGAGGGATGCATGCCTCTATTCCCTACTATAAATTAGTAAGCAGCAGGTCGAAGATCTTCTCGTTGTAGATCTGCCTGGCTTTGTCTCAGGGTTCCTAAGCCCCAAACCCGAAAGCCTAGACATTCATGGTTTGAGCCAACTTCAATTTAAAGGGAAAGCACGTGAATCTGTGAGCTCTCAAAAGGAGCTATGCGATCCCAAAAGGTCGCAGCTGGAGGCTACCTGCTGCACTTCTAGGCTACTTCTGTTGATGGACAAAATCCCGCATGACTGGCTCCTAAACCTTTGGCTTTTTGAAAGTCTAGTACTGCACCTTCAGGATTTGGTGCGCGAAGTCTGAAGCAAAAGAATTAGGAAACTTTTGCCAAGAGATGGCCAGCTGCAGGAAGGATACCCGAACCACGCAGGCCTGCGCTCCGAGAGAATCTCTCGCCCGAATGGCTTCGACCCGATCGAACCTGTGTTTGGGGCGTAGGGTCTCTCTTTCCCGATCACCCCGTCTAAAAAAAATTGAAGCATCTCGACGGGTGTGGGATTATGAGAAGAGTCCTGCAAGACCGCATTGCTGCTCAAAAGCAACTACTACAGCGACACCTGAACGAAACCGTTTGCCAACCATTGCCAGGGTAGAGTCCTGACGCCCAAACAGGACAGAGCCCCGAAGAAGGACTCCCCCCCAAAAGGGAGCTGAACCAGGGGGGTCTTTGAAGGTCTTCCATGTTTGGGTAGCTGGCAGAACTATGATGTGGATGGAACATATAAGGCCATCTTTCAGCACTTAGGACCCAACAATAACGTAATTCCTAGCGTGGAATGGGTGGTGCCAGATTTCCTTCACCCACCCGAAAACACTAAACCCTAGACAACCCGCTTTCATGGTTTCTTTCCAAATCCAGTCTCTATTCTTGCCTTAGCCCTAATCCATCCTAAGCCCTGAGTAGTAGGTTCCACTTTAGTTTCCAT